TTATTCTTCACATCTAAAATAGTGTAGATCAAACATATTTTTTCTTAAAAAAAATAATTTTGCATTTATATGTTTGTTTCTCCAATGTAACACTAGGTTTTTAGACAATATAATAGGTGTACTATTATCATGTAATATCGTTGGGTGCATCTTGAAATTCATTTATTTAAGAATTTTCTTTGGTCAAATGCTTAATAATGCACATGTTATGACAACAATAAATTCAATTTAAATATATGATAAATTAACAATAGGTTATTTTTTAAATGATCATAAAATATATTTTTCCAACATAAACAAATAACTAGCAGTATTTTTATCGTGTTAATCACCTATATAATAATTGTCCGTAGTTTCTAATAAATTGAACATTTCACTTCTTTTATAAAACAACCAAAATCTTTAATTTCTTACAAATAATGAAAGATTCTCTTTGACACCAATAAATGCATTTTTTAGAATTTCTCATATATTCAATGATCAAACCAATAAAAAACATAATATTTGATCTTATTATAGTTAAATACATCAAACTAACTATAGTTTGCTAATTAAGTGTGTTGTCAACCTTTTTTTCTTTAAGATCTTTATGAATCTTTAGGTCATACTATTCATTCTAAACCTATTCAAAACAAATATTCACATATTTGTTTTGACAAATAAAATTTGTGTCACTTAATCAAATTACTTTTATACCCAAATTATAATGTGGTAAGCCAGTATCACGCATTTCAAACACATCCATCATAAATTTCTTAAAGTTCTCAAACATAAAATTACAATTTTTAATAAAAATAAGATAATCAATGTACAAGAAAATAATAAACAATTTATCTTTATCTCCAAGTCTCTAAAAAAATATTTATTCAAGAAGATACTTTGTGAATCCAACTTTATGGAAATAAGATTCAATGCAACCATATTATGCTCTTGGAATTAACCAATAAAGAGTTTTCTTTAATTTATACACTTTATGCTCAATTTCAACCTTGACATAACTCGATGGTTGTTCAACAAAGACATATGTTCCTTCAAGTGTCCATCCAAGAATGTTGATTTAACATCTAATTGGTAAATTGACCAAGCATTTCTAGTTATTAAAGCAACTATTAATCTTATTCTGTCATATCCTGCAACTGGAGAAAAAACTTATCTATAATTGATTCCATATTATTGCTTGTAACCCTTTACTACCAATTGTGCCTTGTACTTATCAACTTTATTATTTTTTACAACTTTGTTTTAAACATCTATTTTACACCAATGGTGTTGCACTTTTTAAAAAGATCACTTAATTTCCCTGTTGCTTTCTTTCAATGACATCAATTTCATCATTCATCACCTTTCACTATTGTTTCTGGTGAAAATTTGATTGATTTTGATTTATGGGAAGTTTGAGCCCTAATCAAATCTCGACCATGTAGATTCTTTTTACTTAGGCTAGCAAGTAGTTTTCAATCGAAAAGTGCATAAGAATCGAGAATCTCATGAATGCAAACAACATTACTTAAAGTGCAAATCGAAAGTACTATTTTTGGTATTTTTTATTAAGTAATGCGAAGTAAAGAAAGCAGTAAAATTGTTGAATCGAAAAGCGGTGCAGAATATTAAATTACAAGAATGTAAAAAATGCGGAAACCTCAAATTTGCATTAAGTGTAAATGACAAAGAATCGAAAATTGCAGCATTGTAAACAAGCAGGAAATCGAAAATTGCATAAGTGTAAATAGCGAAGAACTTAAACGCAGAATCTCAACTTACATAAAAGTAAAATAACATAGAATTGAAAGTGCAGAAACTTAAAGTTGCTTAAACGTAAACTGCATCAAAATAAATTGCATGAACATAAATTACCAGGGAAAGTACAAAAAGCGATAAAGGCAGTAAATGAAAATGGAAATCCAGAGCATTAGAAACTTCATGTTGCGTCGTTCCTGTAGACTGTTCACTTGCGCCTCTGTTGTCTCTGCCAATTTCCTCTTCTTCCTCAAACTTTGTTCTATTTATAGGGCGCCCTTCAGATAACCTCCTAAGAGCAGTTAACAAAACTGCCACCACGACCCACCATGCACGTCTCTCAGTTCCACGGTTTAAAAAACTGTATTTCACGTTCCATGCATGATATAACCGCTCCCTTGACCTTCGATCTCTGTCATGGTTTAAAAACCGCTTCTCATGTTCTATGTGCGCGCGTTAACTGTTCCTCTCTTTCTAACGTAGCCAGGATTTTGATTAACTTTTTCCTCGATTTCGATTTCGATTTCAAAATCTCGAGAACTTTGCATTGCTTTTGATTCCCTTTAATTCTTAACTTTGCACTATTTTAATCTCTCGATTCTCTTCAACAATAGACATCGAAATTTGTTTCTTCGATTCTCGATTTTGATTTTCGATGTGTTTTTATCTTTGTGGTTACCAGGTGTCTTTTACCAATTTTATCAGTTTTTAACCAATCATATGATCTTCGATTTTTTCTTTCCTTCGTTTTTCGATCTTTTTAACGATTTCCCACTAACAACTATTTTTGTTCCTTGATAGCATTATCGGGAGGCTTCATAAAGGGTTTTCTTAGGAGTTAAACTTCCATTTGTCCATATCTCGAGAAAAAGTATCTCTTATTTTTCATTTCCATTGATATAAGAACGAATACTATAATTTATATTTCAAACAGACATGAATATAACATAACTTTCGTCTTGAAATTTTTTTAGTATTTTTATATGATACCCACGACTACTGTGGTGATGATACTGTAGGGCAGGTCCTGCGAAAAAATAGCTTGGCACCAAGGTGATAAAAAAACTTAACACCTCTCATTCTTATTACTTTTTCAACGTGGTAATAAGAATGAAAAATGAAAATGTCGTTTTATTCAAAACTTCAATTATGAAATCTTTTATCTCCTAGTTCACACCTATGAATACACCGTTCTTATAGAGTGAGAGACTATTTCACGTCTTCTTAGGCTAGAGAGAGGAAAGGTCGAGAAATATGAAAAAAAAAAATATTTACGAGTCTAATATTTTGATAAATACGCGAAACTAAAAATTTATTTCAAACAATTGAATCTTCTCAAATTGTTTCTTCTTAAGAACTAAAAAGATTTGTGTTAAAATAATAGATGTCAAGAACAAGAGACCTTGGACACATAATGGATCTTGAAGTACTATTTCCGCATCTCGTGACCAAATACACCCACATTAGGATTACTTGTTAATGACTAATCAAGTTTGATAGATTCACCTTTTGAAACAAGAAGTTATGAAGGATTTTAATATACAAATAAAGTTAAATGAATATCATCCATCCAAGTTGGTTTTTTGCTTATGCTAAGAGATAATTCTTCTTCTCTTTTATGATTTGTGAAAAAGTTCTAGTAATTGTTGAAATAATTCTTTCAAATACTAAAAAGATTGAAGTGTGTTCTTTCTCATTATTTTCATCTAACAACAATTGGGTAGGTATTTGCCTACTTCAATCCCCAATGTTTTTCTTTATAAAAAAAAAAACATCCATGCTAGTAACAATATTTTCTATATCAGGATTAAACAATTTATATGCTTTAGGTGTTTCACTTATACCAAGAAATACACATTTTTCATATTTGTCATCAAGTTTCTTTCTTTTCTGATCTAAAACATAGACAAGAGCAATGCATTTAAAAGTTTTGAAGTAATTAACATATGCTTTTCTCCCACTATACTTCTTAAAGTGTCATATTTTGAACAACAAAAATTGAACTTCTATTCAAAATATGAACATTTCCATTCATTATTTCTATCTAAAATTTTTTTAAAACTTTTTCTCGAGTGAATAAATTTCTTATCGTATTCAAAATTGTCTTGTTCTTCCTTTAAGATATACAATTTTATTATGGTATATAAGTTATTATATATTCTTTTCATATACCATACTCTACACTAAAATTATCAAAATAATTTGAGCAATACTTACGGGTTTTAATGTTTTTTTCAACCTTATTTTCAGCTAGTACATACACTGTTCTTCATAACTATTGAATCATTTAGAAGTTATAATTATTTTACATTCATCTTAACCTTATAACTTCCTTAATTTTTTCATTTTCTCTTTTCATCTACTCGATTATACTCTATTTTTAATACTCGAATTTTCGATTTTCTCTTACCTGAAATACCCGATTTTTCAATCTTCTATTTTTTATGTTTGATCTTTCGATCTTCTGTAATTTTTTTAACTGTTATTTTTGAATCTTTCTTTCTTATCTTTGTAAATTTGTATATAACAATCATATATTTAATTAATTTAATGTATGATTTTCAATCGAGAACAAAAAATTAATAAATAAAGTAATATGCTAACAATTTTTTTTATACAATACACTTTAATGTTATTAAAAATAAATAAGTGATTAACTCGAACTTATAAATTCAATTTATACATATAAAGCGAAATATATCGTATTGTTTTTTTTTTAAGATATGCCAGAGAAATTGAAAAGAGGTGTGGTGAGATGAGGCGAAAAAAATGAGAGAAAAGAAAATTAAATTTCAAAATTTTATACGAAAAGCAACGTATAAATAATAATAATAAAAAAAACTACGCGCGCGATAGGCATGTTTCCCAACGACTCCGATGACGTGTCTTCTTAGCACAAAATTACTTTTCATCAACTCTGCAACCTCCCATCCCATACCTCAATCCGTTTTCTATTCCCACGTTCGTGAGCTCCTTCTCCTTCGTCACTTTGTTTTCATTCTTTTTCTCTTTCTCTTGGTTTCCTCCCAATGCCATCCGGTACAGTAGGGCTTTATATTTGTTCCTCTCATTGCATGGAAGCAGTTTGATGGAATTAGATTATAGAATTAATTAATTAATTAAGAGCTGCGATGTATGGTGAAATTTGTTGACTAACTCTGTGAAGATTTCATTGAAGCTGTTAATCTTTCATTATGCGTGTTTCAGGATCAAAAGGTCTTGTTTAGTCACGCGATTTTGGTTGTGGTGAAAGCGTAACAACAATGAGCAACACCGGGAAACTCAAATCGTCGAGTTCTGAATTGGACCTTGATCGTCCCAACATTGAGGATTACCTACCCTCTGGATCCAGTGTTCAACATGAACGGCATGGGAAGCTCCGCCTGTATGTGCCTCCACTATTTTCTTTTTCATTTTAATGCCTTGCTTTTACTCTTCTTTAGATGGATAAAAAAAGGGGCCCACTGAAAATGGAGTTGTTTTCATTTTGCATGCTCTAATTAAGGAATGAAGATTATGTTTTGATTTAAACGTATCCATTTTAAGTTTTCTGTCCTCGGATTTTCCGAAATGTCGTGGCAATACAATATCTACCTTCACAACTTCTATTTTCAGGTGTGACTTGCTCGACATTTCACCTAGTCTGTCTGAGGCAGCAGGTGCCATTGTAGATGTGAGCTTTTAACCTTGTCTTCATATGCAGTTCTTCTACTTTGTGGTTTTACTTTGTCAATTATTATCTTATTGAAAATCGCTGATGAAATTGTTATGAAGCGTATTCAACGTCAAACATGATGAGTTCAACCTTTTCTAAAACTATATCTTTACCTGCTGCAATAGACAGTCTTCCAATGTAGTCAAAATTGAGATCCTACCTAGAATCAGGGAGGGGACGGAAGACTGTAAATTGCGGGATCATAACATAGATAGTAAGATCCTACCTACAACTTAAAAATATATTTCATGCATTTACATAGGCATAGAAAATAACTTAGATAACAAAATGACATCTAAATCACCATATTTAACTAATATCGAAAATCCTTAGCGTATAACGCCTAATTTATCATGAGTTTTTGATATTATAACTAAAACAACAAAAACACAAATAAAATTGAAAGAGAACTGTCCACTACCAACATAGAATACAGAACACAATATAGTCAATGATGGCAAAAGTATTAGCACATCTAACGAAGATAATTAAAGAGTGCAAAGAAGGGGTGTAATAGACAGAGAGCAGTCCACGAGAGAGGGAATAAGAAGACAGGGTTTGTTTTTCATCCTGGGTCACATAACCGGACCAGAGAGCCCTGCTGAATCAGACAAATTTGGAACATCAAAAACCACAGATCCCGTGAACCTGCTAGTATGATCTGCAATTTCACACTGATCCAAAAAATCTGTTTCCAGGTGAAATCCAACAGAGAGAGGAATTATAATGTCTTGTCTCCTATATTTATATTTCTTCAGACTTCTCAGATTGGATGTCAATGCCAGGATCCATTAGACGTGTATTCTTTTCTTGAAATATCTTTCACATTTTGCTCCCTGACTGAATTTTATGTTGAATAGGATTCATTCACAAGGTGCTTCAAATCAAATCCTCCAGAACCTTGGAACTGGAACGTTTATTTGTTTCCTTTGTGGTGCTGTGGACTTGTGATTCGATATTTGATTATTTTCCCTATTAGGTTAAGTTATTGTTTTTCTCTACATACTTACATGTTCATGCATGATGATGCAATACAACTTCCGAAACGATTCAGTCGTATAGTTTGCCTAGCTAATTTTCAATGCTACATTTGCTTGTAGACTACATGCATTGAGATTGGAAGCATTTTAAGAAAAGTTTTTTAGGATATCATTTGAACCTGATTGAATTTTTGGAACCAATGAAAAACAAAACCAATTTGATTTGGAAACTGTGTCCCATTGAATTATAGGACTTCTCACTCAAAGTATAACAAGGTCAATGTTGTCAGTTTAACCAATTTAAACTCAGATTAAATCCCACTAAAATTGAGCAGATTTTTGCATCTGCACAACTAAAATCACAAAAATTCCAAAATCAAATCAATTTCTTTCAGAAAAAAAAAAATCATTTATGAACCTCAAATGAATTTTTAAATTTTGTGACTTGAAAAATCATGTTTGTGTTGGCCTATTAGTTCCTCTTTTATGCTTCTCAAGTTATGTCTCAGTTTACTGTAATCTTTTTCTGTTTATGTGATGTGTCCTATTTGACTCGGCAGGGTTCTAGTGTTGACATTAGGATGGATTATATTTCTTTCATCCTTCATTCCAGTGCACTGCCTACTAAAAGGAAATGATGATTTGAGGAAAAAAATTGAGGTATAAATTCAGATTATTCTTGCTATTTTGTCCTGTTGAGAAGTTTTCAACATAAATTTTTGTTTCTCTGTTGTGCAGACTAGGAAGGCTGTATTTAATGGCTGTTGTAACCTACACCGTATTGAAATTTTAAGACATATTTGATGTTTGAACTAAGTCCATTAAAAGTAAAAGAGAGGCCTCAACTTTCTGATTTAGCTTATCTTAAAACACAATGAACTTGTATTTGTCAGTTTGTCTTGCTGGTACTGAATGGTTAATAATTTGTAAATATGCATAATAATTACAATTTTTAATGCCTACAATGGCAGATATTTGGTATCATTTTGTGTTCTACATATTTTTTGTATTTTCTTTTAATTATTGTTATCATTAGGAAGGATGCTTGAGACTTGGTGTCAATTGAGCTACAGCTCTTAGGCCACTTTTATTTAGTGTTTTAGTAAGCCCTCAGTTCATTTGGTTGTAGTTTTAAACACCTATTGTCTGGCTTCAATTTAAGTTACCTCATCATCCATGAAAAGCATTGCTTTTGTCACATCACATGCTTTATCTTTTAACTTCTGTTAATATTACTATCTTAAAAGGATTTTTTTGCTTTGGCAGCGGATTTTTTAAATCTAATTACTTGTTAGCCCAGTGGGTGTTCGCAACAAATTTTGGCCAATATGCTGGGGGACATTTTTTTTTTATTTCTCTTTATCCTTTAAATATTTGTATACTCTAACTTGATTGACAGATGTTGTACGCAGCTGAGCGCATGCATGAACATGTATACAACTTCTATTTTACTCTTCCTATTTTCCTTCTTTTTGATGAATAGCTACTCCAATATACTACTAACTTGGTGTGCATCAAATGAATGAACTCTAAGTTGCTCAATTCTCATTTCTTTCAGAGGTGTTTGGTGGAGATGATGTGTAGTTTCTTTGTTGCATCCTGGACTGGGGTTGTCAAGTACCATGGGCCAAGGCCTAGTATGCGACCAAAACAGGTTTGTCTGATGTATATTGATTCTTTCATGTTCTTATTCTATATCCATCAAAATATGAATGTTATTTATTGATAATCTGGATTTCCGTTCATTGAACAGGTTTTTGTGGCCAATCATACTTCCATGATTGATTTCATTATCTTAGAACAGATGACTGCATTTGCTGTCATTATGCAGAAGCATCCTGGATGGGTTGGTTAGTGTATAGTGCTATTGTGTTGGCTTTAAATACACAACGAGCCCTGTCTTTATCATCAACACAGCCCTTTATCTCTATATTTGCTTGTGGCATAGCATATCTGGGTGAATCAGTTTTGCTAACACCATTCTGCACTTCTTCTGGCAATACCATATCCAGTATATTTTTAAACTCTTGCCATAATGAAAGTTTGTTTCAATTCAGAGAATCTGAATAATATGAATATTGTGCAAGAATAGAAAAACTTAGGTCTAAATGGCTCTTCAGATGAAGGATTTATATGATGAATTGATAGAACTGGCACCAAAATATAGCAGAAAAAAGAAGAAAAAGATTGATATAGCAAAGACGAGAAATTTGTTATGCACTAAATGAAGTAGTTACAGAAAACGAATCTGCATGTATTTTGAGGAACCTGGCCCCTTCCAAACTGATGCTCTGACCCTTACTCTCTGATCTTATCATCTATTTTCCCTGGTAACAAGATCTTACTAACTTCCTTCTTGTTAGTAGCCTCTTAACTCAAGCTATCTAACATCAAGCAGTTTACATAGGATGCCCTCTTAACTCTTTCTCTCAGTTCTCTTCTCATAGACCATGGTAATTACTTACTCTATCAGTAGTACCCCCAGCGATAAGTGTCACACTGTCCTCAAGGTGGATTGAGGAAAGTTGAGGTTAATCTTCAAGGTGTCTTATTAGCATATCTTTCGGTTGGTCTTGTGCTTGAAGCAAATTCTCATGCAATTTTGTTATGAAGGTGATAAGGGAAAATTGCCTTGATTCGAGGTCAAGGGGCCTCCTACAGAAAAAGGATAGAGTAATGATAGAAATATTCTTCTCTGCCTCATTCATTTATTCCGGCAACTATATAACAGAAAGGGTGATAACAAACTCATAACAGAACCACTCAAATACTGACACGTCATACATAAATGTTCCCTTACCCATACCCCCACTACTCACAGTTTGTAATCAGCTAAGTATTTTGGCACCCTACGAATTCTTGTTGATGTCATTGGATCAGTTACCCCATTAACTTCATTTGGGCCTAAAGTGGGGCCCGAATTACTATCATTATTGTCCCCTAGAAAAGACACCTTGTCCTCAAGGTGATAATTCAGCTGCAACTCATTCCAATCTTCCCAAGTTGTGTCTTCTGGCGCCAAACCTTGCCACTGCACCAATACCAATTTCTCAGGAGGAGTTGTGGAAGTGTCTATCTTAGAATCAAGTATAGCCATAGGGGTAATGGTTGGGCTGTTGCCATGGTTTTCAGTAGGTAACTCAGCATGATGAACAGGGAGAGGGCCGACATGACCCTTAAGCACTGAACAGTGAAAAACCGGATGAATTTTGGAATTTGAAGGCAGCTCTAGCTTGTAAGCAACAGGTCCAACTCGCTCAAGTATGTGAAAGGGACCGTAAAAACGCTTGCCCGAGCTTCTCATAAGCTGAACCTCGGACGAATTCGGCGGTAGGGTCGCAACCGCACATAGACCCAATCATCTACCCGATAGTCCACCTTCCTACGCTTGCCATCGCCTACTAGTTTCATCTCGGTGCTGAACCTTTTGAAGTTTCTTTCGCAGGGCATTCAAGCATGTCTTGGCGAGTTGTTAGCGAGAGAATCAACCGCCTCTACCGACGAGGAACCTGCTAAATATTGAGGGATCGAAGGAGGTTCCTTGCCATACGTGACTCGAAAAGGAGACATCCCGATAGGCTGAATGATTAGTAGTATTGTAGCACCATTCTCGCCAGTGCCCAAGTACTTACCCCAATTGGGTGGTTTGTTGTGAACCATGGAACGCAGATATTGTTCTAAGACCCTGTTTAGAACCTCTGTCTGGCCATCCGTTTCAGGGTGGAAGGAGGTGCTCATATGCAACTTGGTGCCACACAATCGGAATAGTTCTCTCCAAAATTTGCTTATGAAGATAGGATCACGATCCGAAACCAAGCTGCAAGGAAATCCATGATGCTTACAAACCATATCTAGGAAAAGTTGTGCAACCTTAAAGGATGTGAAGTGTGCAGGTAACATTCCAAAATGTGCACCCTTTGAGAAGCGATCAACCACCACCAAAATAATTGTGTATCCTTGGAAGGGTGGCAAGCCCGTAATAAAATCCAGAGATAAGTCAACCCATGGTTCCACTGGAATGGAGAGGGGTTGGAGTAAGCCTGCTGGCCGCTTAGTCTCATATTTGGTTTGTAAGCAAGTTGTGCAATGAGCAACGAATTTCTGAACGTCCTCACGCATGCCCTTCCAATAGAAATTATATTGAAGCCTTGACAAAGTTTTAGCAGCCCCTGTGTGCCCACTCAGTGGAGTCTTGTGAAACTCTTCCAACAAAACAGGAATAAGTGGGTTGTCGTGGTTCAACCAGATTTTGCCCTTGTACAACAAGAGGCCTTGGTGAATACTGAAGTGTTTATGACTATCCTGGTCATCCTGAACAGCCTTGAGCAGTTGAACAAATTCAACACTTGTGAGTAAAGCCTTGCGAAGTTCTTCAAGAAACAAGAAACGAGGCATAGATAAAACTAAGAGTTGGCTGTTGCCGAAATCAAAAGGCCGGGAGAGAGCATCGGCCACTACATTTGTTCTCCCTGTTTTGTACTGGATGGAATAGTCGAATCCCAACAACTTTGACAAATAAACTTGTTGTTCTGGAGTTTGGATAACCTGCGACATTAACTCCTTGAGGCTACGATGATCCGTAAGGATTGTAAAGAAGTGTCCAAGTAGATATTGGCGCCACTTCTTAACTGCAGCTGTAATGGCATGAAGCTCCCTGACATAGGTAGAAGATCGCATGAGCTTTGGACAAAAAGGTTTGCTGTGGAACGCAATCGGATGACCTTCCTGCATCAAAACAGCGCCCATGGCTAAGCCGGAGGCGTCTGTCTCCAAAACAAAAGGCAAGTCAAAATTGGGTAAGGCTAGGACTGGTGCCTCAGTCATGGCTTTTTTTAAAGTATCAAAAGCGATTTGAGCTTCACTGTTCCACATGAATGCGTCCTTCTTCAAAAGTGCGGTCAAGGGAGAAGCTAGGGAGGCATACCCCTTTATGAATCGTCTATAAAACCCTGTTAATCCCAGGAAGCCACGTAACGCCTTAATCGTGGTAGGAGGTGGCCAATCCAGCATTGCCTGAATTTTTGATTGGTCTGGTGCAACACCATCAACAGAAACCACGTGCCCCAGATATTCAACCTGTTACGTCGCAAACCTACACTTAGATCCACGCAGAAAGAACTCGCCCAGTATCAGTTGTTGGAAAGTCAGTTCTAAGTGTTGAATATGATCCTCCAAAGACCTGCTATAAACCAGTATGTCATCAAAAAAAACAATTAGAAATTTTCGCATAAATGGTTTCAGCAATTCATTCATGGTTGCCTGGAATGTGGAAGGGGCGTTGCAAAGGCCAAACGGCATCACTGTATACTCGTAATGCCCATGGTGTGTACGAAAGGCAGTTTTAGGAATGTCAGTAGGAGACATGCGAATTTGATGATATCCCTGTCGCAAATCCAGTTTGGAAAACCATGAAGCTCCTCCCAACTCGTCCAACAGCTCATCGATCGTGGGAATGGGAAACTTGTCCTTGATGGTGATAGCATTAAGGGCACGATAGTCAACGCAAAATCTCCAACTACCGTCCTTTTTCTTTACAAGTAAAATCGGGGAGGAGAAAGGGCTCTGACTTGGTTGGATCATGCCATCGAACAACATCTCTTCAATTTGCCTCTCAATTTCTGCCTTTTGGAAATGGGGGTATCTGTACAGCCTCACCGATACCGGAGAAGAATTGGGAAGGAGGTGAATTTGATGGTCCCTATTGCGTGAGGGTGGTAAGGATGTAGGCTTCTGGAAAAGCTGAGAATATTTGTGTAGGAGAGTTGAAATTTGGGGAAGAGGATTGGTAGGGACGGCTTGTGTGTTAGGTGAAGGGGGGTGAGGGGTAGTGGGGAGTATACGAATGTGGAAAAACCCAGCTGCACCATGAGTTTGAAGGATACGTTTAACCTGTTGGGCTGAAATGTTACTGGGTTTAGGAGGGGCATCAGCCTTAAACTCGACGAATTGCCCGTCCTTGACGAACTTCATAGTGAGTTGGGAGTAATCAGTAACAATGGGGCCCAAATCTTTGAGCCACTGGATGCCAAGGACGACGTCGGCACCGCTGATAGGGAGCACATGGAGGTCCACCACGAACTTATGTCCTTGAATTTTTAATTCCACCCCTGGACAAATACTATGGCATTCAATTTCACTACCGTTTCCAATCATTACACGTAGTGTGTTAGTGGGTTTAGCATCTAAATTCAAGAAGCGGGCTACACGGTCTTGAATGAAGTTATGAGTGCTCCCCTCATCAACCAGAATAGTAGTGGGCTGGTTAGAGATGTGACCCAAGATGCGAAGAGCTTCAGGAGCTGGTAACCCTGCCAAGGCATTGAAACTTATTTGAGCTTCCGTCTGGCCCAGATCTACATCTTCCAGAGGAGGCATGCTGGGAACCGTTTCTAAACATGGTGACTCCATCCTGACATCATCAGGCGCATCATCCACTGCAACTAACAAGAAGAAACTTGCCTTGATTGCTATCAGAAGGTGTCTTATTGCTCATTGAGATGATTGACTTCCTTAACTTTGGAAGGAATTTTGGTTTCCTTTCAATAATAAAGGAAACATCTTAGTAATTAGTATTGAACCAAAATGCAGCCTGAGCTAAATGCAATGGCCACTGCATTTGCTTTTGTAAGAGTACTCATTGGGAGTTAGGTACTACTCACTTTCCAAATCCTTCCACAACCACAGTTGCTTGCAGATGTGATAGGTAAGTAGTTACGAGTTAGTAGAATAATTAGAGAATTTAGGTTGGTGGGCGCTGAGATAGGCATGGCAAAGCTAACTAGACCCACCAGGTCGACCAACCAATTTGAGACGGACTGGATCGATTGTTTTAGTTTGTCAATCCGACAAGTCAAAGACTGGATAAGGTGGTTAATTGGCTCACTTTTAAAAATATTTACATATTAAAATTAAAATATAAAACATTATAATTTAAAATATTATATTTTTTTGTTATGTTGTAATATGTTAATATACTAAAATGTTGTAATTAAATTATAAATACTAACAAATTAAGCTTAAACTATTGAGTATAATTGAGTATATTAACATGTAAATGTAGTGATTTTTCAATTTATCCAATAAAAAATATTAATGAGTAAAGACTTAAAAATTATACATATAATTAAGAGTGTGTTTATGGTGAGTCAACATGTCGTATCCCATGTTTAGCATGCCAAAGGTATGGTGAGCCAAAACGAGACGACCCCTTAGTTGAGATAATTGGAGAAACAAGGCATGTTACATGTAAATAAGAAAAGGGATCGAGAGGGAGATTTTATCTTGTGATTTGAGAGGTGTTGAATATAGTGAAAACTAGATATATGTTTAGTCTCCCTTGTGTGTAAAATATACAGAGAAATATGGCAAATATATATAAATATGGTAGTTATAAGATATTGTTAGATATTATGACTAACAATATCTAACACTCCCCCTTAAGCTGATGCATATAAATCATATGTACCAAGCTTGTTATAAATATAATCAATTCTAGGTCTCACAAAGATTTGGTGAAAATATTTGCAAAAGTGGCTGAGTCATAGCTCTATATTCTACTTCTGCACTAGATCTTGGAACAACACTTTGTTTCTTGCTCTTCCAAGAGATATAAGTTACCTCTAATAGAAACACAGTATCCCGAAGTAGATATTCTATCAGAAGGAGATCCTGCTCTGAATAATAGACAACTTTAGACTGGTTATTGTGATCATATAACAAATTTCCAAGAGATCCTTTAATGTTCTTTCACATACGAATGACTATATTCCAATGATTTGCACATGGTGAATTATGCAATTAACTCACCACACTGACTGCAAAGGAAATGTCATGTTGAGTAATAGTAAGATAGTTTAATTTTTCTATTAATCTTTTGTACTTCTCAAGATCTAAGAGAGACTCCCCCTGATTAGGCAGGAGTTTGGTATTGAGATCCATGGGTGTATCAACAGATTTTGAGTTCATCAATCCAATTTCCTCTAAAATATCCAATGCATACTTTCTTTGATATATAACAATATCATTATTGGATTGTGCTACCTCAATCCCCAAGAAATATCTAAGTTTTCCAAGATCTTTGTTCTGAAAGTGGTGACAAAGGTGTTGCTTCATGTGGGAGATATCATGGTGATCACTCCCTATAAGAACAATATCATCAACATATATTATTAAATAGATACACCCAACACTTGAGTGACGGTAAAAGACTCAATGATTTGCCTCACTACGAGTCATATCAAATTGTTGAACAACACTACTAAATTTCTCAAATCAGACCCTAGGAGACTGTTTTAGGCCATATAAAGATTTGTGAAGACGACATACCAATCTAGAAGGTTCTCCCTGAGTAACAAAACCTGAAAGTTGCTCCATATAAATTTCTTCCTGCAAATCTCTATTAAGAAAAACATTTTTGACATCTAATTGGTAAAGAGGTCATTGTTGAAAAACAGTCATGCTATGAATAAGCAAACAGAAGCCATTTTTGCCATCAGAGAAAAAGTATCACCATAGTCCAAACCAAAAATTTGATGTAACCTGTTAAGGTTCCAACATAAAACCAATTGGCAATATGTGGAGTAGCCTAACATGTATTTAAACCATACCAAATGATATGAGGTAGGCGATGTGGGACTTTCAACACACCCCCTCCAACGAAGCCTGCCAGACCAGGCAAAGGGTACTTTTGACCCAACTAAAGGACAACTTTTGACCCATGACAATAACCGGAAAGATGTTAGGCTTTGGCTCTGATACCATGTTAAGGTTCCAACATAAAACCAATTGGCAATATGTGGAGTAGCCTAACATGTATTTAAACCATACCAAATGATATGAGGTAGGCGATGTGGGACTTTCAACATAACCTTTGGTCACAGGACGAGTTTTGAGACGGTCAATAGTACCATCAGGACCAACTTTGATAACAAAAACTCACCTACAACCAACAACATATTTTCCAGACCGTAACAGGATGAGCTCCTAAGTTCCACTATTCTGAAGAGTACTTAGTTCATCAAGCATAGTCTGATACCAACCAAAATGGGCTAAGGCATCACCTACGGATTTAAGAATTGACACATAAGAAATAAATGAAAGGCAGGTACAAAAAGGTGGAAATAATCTATGGTAACTCAAAACCGTAAAATGAGGAGAGAGATTATGGAGGACAATTGGAAGGTCAAAATCAGTTGTCAAAGCCAGAGGAGACAAAGGAGTTGATGTTTGAAGTGAGTCATTTGGTGGTTGTTGGGATCGCTATCTTCAATTATAAACTTGAAGTGGTGGTGGCAGAGGAGAATCCGAAGGTGGACTAGGCACAATAGGAGAATCACACACAACAGGAGTATTGATTATAGCAGACAGAGACACACACGGAGAAGAAGGATACTTAAAGTAAAAGAAAGACTCATTAAAGGTGACATAGGTAGAAATAAAATAACGGTTAAGAGAAGAAGAGAAACACTTATATCCTTTTGTGATAGAATAAATCTTAAAAGAAATACATTTGTGTGATCTAGGAGATAACTTATCAAGATCAGGAATAAAATTATGAACATGTAGACCCAACAACTTTAAAAGGTAAGGGATCTAGAGGTTCATAAAGAAATAAAAGAGAATGAGGAATTTTGTTATTTAAAATCAAATTTCTTACTTGATGACACTTTACTCCCATTGGTCATAACCCTGTGTAGGTAGCCTTTTTCGAAACACCCAACCATCAACTTTGATATTAATAATAAGTAGTCAAACACTTGTGAAACTCACCTTCAACAGTTAGCAATTAGAAAGGAAGAACCAACCACTAAAATACTCCACCGAGTATCCCATACTACTCAATGTAGGACTTAAGGACCTCATAATACCAAAGTTCCTATCTATTAGAGCTCCAATCTTAGATCTGTGAGTGGAAATTGTTGAGAAATTACCAGTTGATAGGGAACATAATTTTCTTTTAAACATTTAAAAGCTTCAACAAAGACTACATGTACGTGGATTCACTCATAAAATACTTATGTTCCATTTCATCTACTTTTCGCTCCAGGGAGTCTTTTGATCTTCTCACGCACAATCAAATTAATCATGCTAGGTGCTACTGCATCTTTCTATCAGAGTACACTGTGCATTTGTTGCTAAACTATCTATTCATCCAGCCCTACTTTCCTTCAAGCTCGATGGGAACTTTATAATCACAAGTTATGCCTGATGCATGTATGCATTTCATTCGCAGGATTATTGCAGAGCACTATTTTGGAGAGTGTAGGGTGTATCTGGTTCAATCGTACAGAGGCGAAGGATCGAGAAATTGTGGCAAGGAAGTAAGTATATTGAAAATGTTAGGGTATATCTCAAATCTTATTCTAACATGATTTTTCATATTTCAGATTGAGGGAACATGTCCAGGGAGCTAACAATAACCCTCTTCTTATATTTCCTGAAGGAACTTGTGTAAATAATCAATACACTGTCATGTTCAAGAAGGTGGTATAGGATCATTTGCAATTGCATTAAATATGAAATGCCAAGTTATTCACTTTAACTTCTACAATAGGGTTTCCTTTTCCTTTTTAATCTATCAGCATCAACTTGTATTCTATTTCCTATAATCTGAAAGTTCTAAACATAATTAAAGCCTCTTCTAATTTTATGATGTTTAGGGTGCATTTGAACTTGACTGCACAGTTTGCCCAGTCGCAATCAAGTACAATAAAATTTTCGTAGATGGTTTTTGGAATAGTCGAAAGTAAGACGTCCCTTGTTACATGATAATTATTTCTGTTTCTATTAATTCCACTGTTTTCTCGCATTAGTGGATATGAGTTTCTGTATCTCCTACACTTTCAGGCAATCGTTTACCACTCATCTCTTGCAATTAATGACAGCTTGGGCTGTAGTTTGTGATGTTTGGTACTTGGAGCCACAAAACATGAAGCCAGGAGAGACATCCATTGAATTTGCAGAGAGGTAAAAGATCTTTGTTCCAGATTGTATGTAATATGCAGCGATTGCGAGTACATGAACATCTACGTTTTTCAAGGAAATGAAACAGTATATATTATTTCAACGGTATAGGGTGAGAGACATAATCTCACATCGTGCTGGGCTTAAAAAGGTTCCTTGGGATGGATATCTGAAGTATTCTCGCCCTAGTCCAAAACACAGAGAAGCAAAGTAAGTTAAATTTTTCAATCTTTCTCGATGTTATCGATCGTATGGTGATAGGTTGGGCTGTAGGCCCAAAAGAAAGAAAATTAATTTTTGAAGATTTTTATTAGATATAGTTAAAATATTTAATATTATTTATAATATAAATTAGTTTATATTTTAGTTCCCTAAAGTTAGATTGTGACACTTGTATGATCATTATTTATTTAGTTGTTAGTATATCTGAGGTTATATATCTGTGTATGTCTTTACCTATGAAAGAAATGAAGAGTATGAATATTCAGTGTAAATGGTAGCTTCTAGCTATTTTAGAATAGCCCAGTTCTTGGTTTCGTATCAAGTGGTGCTTTCATTGAGAGCACCATTAGCACAGATAAGCTAAAAGATAAAATATTCATATTCTTCATAGTAAATACATACATATATAACCTCAAATATACTGATAATATACAAGTGTCACAAACTCACTTATGGAATTAAAATATAAACTAATTTATACTATAAATAATATTTAATATTTTTACTATATCCTATATAATTTTTCAACCATTTAATCTTCTTTCTTTTGGGCCTCTAGCCCATTCTATCATATGGTCTTTGTCACCTAGGTGTTGTAATCAGAATTATGTATGTAGTTATGTTTTGTTTGGTAGAGGTTTATAATTAGAATGATGTGGAGAATCGCAGAGAGAGAAAATGTTCTTAAGAAGTTCGTTTAAGTTAAAATAGACTAAAGTGCAAGACGTTATTCTCCAGAAAAAAAGGGGTGTTTTCTTTTTTAAATACAAGGGGATGGAACATAATTTATCTAGTGTTTGAAAAGTGAAAAAAAAAGTGACGTTTGTGTAATAATGAATAACGGAGTATTTACGTGAATGAATCGTACCCTTAAGCTAAATTGTGTATTTGGCAGCAGTTCATGTATGTACTTTTCCATGCAGAATTGGTAAATATCTTATTAAAATTTAAAAATTTCTTAGTTTTGTAATTAATTCTGTCCGCTTGAATTTGCTCGTACCAACCAGTCATACCTCGTTAGATCTGTTCACACATTTCTCATTCTTGAGAAATTTAAATCATGTTGCTTACCTCGTTCATTATCATAATCATTTGCAGGCAACAAAACTTTGCTGAGTCTGTGCTTCGGCGCTTTGAGGAAAAATAGTGTATACCTTTTTACCTTTTCAGCAAGTGCTTTCTCCTGCCCTTTTTTCTATTCTACTTACCATCATGAGTATTGAGATATACATGTCCATCTTACATGAAGTTACATGATAAACTTTTCCATGATTACTTGCACTCTGCTGCGGACAAACTGACAGGAACTAGTTATTTTTAGGCATGAAAACTTTGCATTGAAGGTAATTTGAATCTCGACATGCCTAACTAATCCGACTGTTGCAGGCCCTTAATAACTACTGCAAACTGGCTCATCAATTTCGTTCGGAGCAACTGCGTAATCTACAACTACTCTACATTAAAAACACTTGCCATGAACAATAACAATAATTAAAAAAAAATCTCCGAAACAAAGCAATGTTTTTGCAATGCTTCACTTTTGTTTTCAAATTGTTTATTTATCAAGAGGTTATTTTTGGAAAAAAAATTTGGTAGTACGGTATGTACTGTTTTTACTGTTAACAAAGCTATATTTTTTTCATGTCCCATCAAGTAACTTAATATAGACATAGTTGTCCATTACCTTTTTCCACGTTTATGCCAAATTAAGTACTGGTTTCGTTCCGCATCTCCCACGATGTTTGTTTTACCTTTTTATTGTCATTGAAAAAAAAAGTACCGATTCAGTAACTCATTTTGGTAATAAAATTTTCTTCTTTTTCTTTCATCTTCTGTGTTAACCAACAAAATATTAAATCTCAAACATCTTTTACATACGTAAAATGGACTATAATGGCTATAAACTTGGACTTCGATGTTTACCAATTTCTTCTTCTTTTCTTCGAAGTTATTGAAAATTATCTTTGTTGCTACTCTTCAATATGACATTTGCAAAACAATAATTACCTTGGAACGGGAATCTTAATGGCAATGAGTTTTGCAGATATTATATATATTTAGAGATTCTAACCGTCAATTAAAATTTGTTATGGTTAATACATTTTCATACTTGTAGATAAATAGGAGGATCACATTGTTTACAAAATGACTCAAGAAGATATAATTTCATACGTTGACATTGAATTACATGCTAATGGTTTACAATGTGTTAGTAAAAATTCGATACAAGGATCGAAAAGCAGAAGAGAGAAAATTGAAGATCATATGATTGGTTAAAAAGTTGATAAATCGGAAAGATGGTTGGAAGACACTCGGTGACCACGAGATAGTATGAACATATAAATCAAGAATGGAAATCGAGAATCAGAAAAGAGAGAAACAAATCGATGAAAGTATAGTGTAAAGTCAAGGTTAATGGAAATCGGACTTGATAACTGGAATCTAGATCGAGGGAAACAGTTATAATGCACATGGAACGTGGAAGCGGTTTTCTAAAACGTAAACTAAGATAAAAATCGGGGATTGTGTACATGGAACGTGGTGACAATTTTTAAACTGCTCTCAGGAAGTTATATTGAAGGATGCCTATAAATAGAATGAAGCTTGAAGAAGAAGAGGAAATTAGCAGAGACAACAGAAGCATAAGTGAAAAGTCTACCGGAGAACGATGAATCATGAAGTGTCTGGCGATCTGGATTTCCATTCTCATTGACTGTTTTTACCGCTTTCTTTACTTTCCCTGGTAATTTACTTTCATGTAATTTACTTTCATGCAATTTACGTTTATCAACTTTAAGTGTCTGTCATTTCAATTCCTGGTCATTTTTTCTTTATGCAAGTTAAGTTCTGCGTTTAAGTTCCTTGCCATTTACACTTCTGCAATTTTAAATTCCTGTTATTTACATTACTGCAATCTTGATTCCCTGCTATATTACTTTCACGAAATTTCGATTCCCGCCATTTACATTTCTCAATTTCGAGGTTTTTGCATTTAAATTTCTCTGTAGTGTAAATTTCTAAACTGCCTTTCATTTTCGATGCGTTTTACTGTTTTCTTTACTTCATGTTTCTTAATAAAAAAAATACCAAAAAGAGTACTTTCGATTGTCAATATGTATGATATATTGCATTGTTAACATTTCTCGACACTGTGGTATTGACATTGTGGTATTTTTCGATTCTCATACATGTTTCGATTGAAAACTGTTTGCTAGCCTAAGTAAAAAGAATCTACGTGGTTGAAATTTGATTAGAACCTAAGTCTCCGAGAAATCGAAATCAATCAAATTTTCACCAGAAACAAATTGGTGCACCAGGTAGGGAACAGAGTTATGTCGAAAAACACAAACAATTGGCTAGTTCGAAAGTGTATGAGATTAAGGAGTAGGCGAGTAATAAGAATGAGTCAAAATCCACCACCACATAATCAGAATAATAGTGAGATTCTAAATAATTCACATTCACCAAACACTGGGGGGCAAGTTCACAATGGGAATATGTCTGTAATACTGACAACTGTGAGTACGTCGATACCTGTGAGTACTGAACAAAGCTCAGGCACATTAGTAAACACTCAGTTAGGGTCTAGTACTGTAATGTCGAACAATATACAAACTACGGGGAACCCCGTAACAACATATGCAGGTCCGCATATGAGTGTAAGGCTGCCTGATTTTTCGATTAATAATATGAATGGGGCTGATACTTCTTCAATACAACGAAGTACGAGATTTAACCTAGGAATGCCCCAAAACTTAGGAACATTTCAAACCTTAGGCATGCCTCAAAACATAGTAACGCCCCATAATTCAGGAAATGTGCAGAATTTAGGAACACAACAGTCGCCTCCAATATCAAACCTAGATCACAGAGCAAACCTGGATCACGGGAGATATACATTCGATAGAGATTATCATCGATCCAATTTTGAGACTATCGAAAACGCTAGTACTGGAATTTCCAGTAATTCATTAGGAGTACTTCGACAACAAATGGATGAAAGCAATTTCGAGATGGTTAACATGTTATCACAACAATTGACTATAGTACTAAACTCATTAGTTCAAAACACAACCACTAGTTTTGAGATATTAGCATACCAAATGACACGTATCGGGGATGCATTGGCGATACCTCGACAAACAAGGATCGAAAATAATGCTAATCAGAATCTTAACCGAAACGCTAATATCAATTCCCTTTATTTATTAAGGAGAAATCAAAACAATGATCAATATCAGCATGTGAGGAATGATACTTATGGAAATTTAAATGAGGGATTACAAAATGTGTATAATCAGAATAACATGCAGTACAATCACATGTTGGGACAAAGGATGAATTCTCAAGAAGTGGAATTAAGACCACCTAATCAACCGTACTTTGTTTCTCCTTTTTCAAATACGATTCTCGAGACAGAATTACCTCAAGGATACAAAATACCCAAATTCACCAAATTTGCTGGAGAAATTGGTGAATCCACTATCGAGCATGTGGCGCGATATCAAATCGAATGTGGGGACCTAGCGATGAGTGAGGAATTAAAAATGAAATCCTTTCCTAGTTCATTAACAAATAATGCTTTCACTTGGTTTACGTCGTTGCCACCTAATTCAATATATAATTGGTTGCAGCTGGAAAGAAAATTTCATGAGCAATTCTTTAGAGGGGAGACTCAAGTAAGTCTTATCGATCTAATGAATATAAAGAGATATAATCATGAAATCGTAGATGATTATTTGAATAGATTTAGACAAATGAAGTCGAGATGTTTTACTCAAATTCCCGAATTTGAGTTAGTCATAATGGCCTCTGCAGGCTTAGAATTCTCGATTAGGAAAAAGTTAGTTAATATACCATTGAATGACATGACTCAGTTAGCTGATAAAGTGAGAAGAGTGGAACAAATCGAATATGAGAAACAAAGGTACAAGAAATTTGAGAAACCAATGAAGAAAGATAGGGTAGCGTATATAAATGATATATATGAGGAAAATCCCAGGATAGAAGGAGATATTAAAGAATCTGTCGATGAGAAAGTAAATATAGCAGAGCTCAAAGTAAGAGCTCCATATATTTGTAAACTGTTACAGAAAAATGAAGTGAAAGACAAAATGGCAAATCGCACATATACTTTTGATGTAACAAAGGCAGATAAAATCTTTGATATCTTATTGAAAGATAAACAGATTAAGTTGAGTGATGATCATAAATTACCTTCTGCAGAACAAAGAAACAGTTGAAAATATTGCAAATTTCATAATATCTATGGACACTGGACTAATAATTGTATACATTTCAGGAACACGATCCAAGATGTGATCGACCAAGGAAGATTGAAGTTTGAGGAGATGTCAATGAAAATGGATACGAGTCCATTTGAAGTTCAAGTAGGGTATGTGGAATCCCAGACGGGCATGACTGAAGATGTCCGATTGATAAATTCGACCTTTATAGGTATGGTCGATGTTACTGAAGACATTGATCCCAGACATGTCAGAATGGACATGTCAGAATGGACATGTCAGAAGAAGACATAGAGTTTGACCTAAGCGAGTTCGAGAAGGAATTCGAGAGAGAGATCTATCCTCGATTAGAAGATTCCCTCGTCGAATTTTTAACCAGAAAGAAAGTGAAGAACGAAGGTGTGACATTATGTCCACGATGCAGTGCGGTGTTTGACAGATCAGCTGCTAAAGCCTTCAGGGCAGGACATATCAAGAAAATAGAGGATCAACATAAAAGTTGCAGTAATAAAGTAGATCAAACCATCCAAGACACGGTGGGGGAGAGTCAGCAGAAATCTGTTGGTTCTGGCGCTAGTAGAAATAAGAAACAATGGGTTAGAAAAGAAATGTATTCTCCTCGAGAAGGAAGGGGCAGACTTCAGAATAATGATGTTTTCGACAGACTTTCATATGATGAAGGATCAAATACTGGATTCCCTACATTCCAAAGGAGATTTCGAGGGAAGCCTTGGAGGAGAGTAGGAATGATCCCTTACTGGGGAAGGATCAATAATTATAGGAACTTTGAAGAAAGTAAAATGTCAATTGGGGGTCAATATGTAAGAGACTTTGTCGATGACAAAAATGAAGGTAGTTGGGATGGACATCAAATTGGAGTAATATCGATACTGCCCGCAGA